GGGGGGGCGGGAGGGCTTACTTAGCACTGCAGCAGCTCACCGGTATGGAGAAGAGGAGAAGGGAGAGGCTGCCTGCTCAAAAGGCTGTTGACAAGATAGCCAAGGGGCAGGGCCACATGACAGGCAGCCCCTGCAGCCAGATCAGTAGTGAGGGGTAGGGCTACTGGGGCCTCTCAGCCAGAGGCGTGGAAGGGGGCCCGCTGTGCCCCGACTGCAAAATGGCTGCCCGGGCCCAAGTTCTGTCTGTAAAATCAGGGGGCAGCCCCCGCAAGTTAGCTAGGTTCCCAATGATGTTCTTGTGGAGGTGAGGAGGATCATAACCACACAGTAATCAGCGTAAGTACACGAAAGCTTTACACAGCGCCTTGTTTTCAATTCACACTTTTAATAGTTCCCAACATTCTGCTCATCTTTTTCCGATGGCTACTGAACGCTAGGCAGCCGTTTTCAGTAATTAAATACTAGCAGCTAACAGAGCCCACCATGTTACATACATCTTAGTCTTCTTTCCAACATGTATTACTTTGCACTTATCAGCATCAAGCTTCATCTGCCATTTTGTTGCCTATTTGCACTATTTTATGGGATCTTTCTGCATTTCTTCATAGTGAGTATTGGGGTTTTTTTACATCCTGAATTACTTGGCATAATCTGCAGACCTGGCCACTTCACTATTTATAACATTTTACAAATAATTTAATTTAATATATTAAAAACAGCACAGGTCCCCAGCACAGATCCCTGAAGAACCCTACTGCTTGCCTGCCTCCATTGTGAGAGCTACCCATATACATGCATTCTTTGTTTCCTCCGTCTGTTAAACAGCTGCTGATCCATGAATGAACATTGCCAATGCCATAATAGTCTGATTTCATGAAAAGCCTGCAAGGCAGGACTTTATCAAAAGCATGATTCACATGCTTGTTGATAATCTCAAAGAAATCTAGTGCATTTGTGAGTCATGATCTCCCTTTACAAAAAATGTTGGTTCTTCTCCAGCAAGTCCTCTTCATCCATGTGAAATACACTTCCTAACAGTTTGCCAGGAACAGAAGTTAGGTTCATTGCAACGTAGTTCCCTGCATCCCCTCTAGAACTTGGGGGGGGGGGGGGGGGGGGGGGG